CATGACCAAGTATTGGAAAATTTCCAGCAATACATAACTTCCAGAAGTTCATCCATCTTTTCACGAAATTCGGAATAACCTTTCAAAGGAAATCCCCATTGAATCACACCATATTCATTCATTAGATTGAAATCTTCCTCACACGTACACATGCTCATATAAAAGTATAAAGCACTGTGAATATAAGCAGCTTTTCCGGAAATAATTTCATAGATTAAAAGGTTTTTTAATATTTTAAATCGAAATTCGTCGAGAATGAGGGTGGTATAATAATAAGTCTTGTTCAAAGGGTCAACGTAGCAGATATAAGCCCCGTTGACAACACGTTTCATTGGAATTCTATGACGTACATATTCCTTGAATCCAAATGGAGTTATAGTTCCGGCTATATGGGCAGCTTTATCAAAAGATTTATGTTGACCAGCTGTTTGACGGTAAAGGTTTTCCATAAACGTTGCTTCACTTTCGTAAGGTTGTATGGTGCCACCAGTGATTTGGAATGGTGCGACACCATTGATGGCCCTATAACAGAAAAAGATGTAAGTCATATATCAAAACTAACAATAACCGAGATTCTGATTCCTGAGTAGAGATGGGCAAATCATAAAATTTTGAAATTTCATCTACGTATATCATGTACAGAATGCGCAACCTGCGTGGAACCTGTAATTATTAAACTACACTAATAAACCAAATCATGAGCAGGTCCTCAATTTAATTTATTGCGCAGAATGTGCATGTGCTCATCCTTCTCCTTGAGATATAATCAAGACAAAAGAAGATATCTTACGCTTTTATGTCTCCAGTGGGATCATTATATCTATTAAGCAAGTATTATATTAGTAATAAACAATTCAGCGATAATGATAAGGATAATGGTAAACTGAGGATACATACGGATTAAAAGGTAATTTCAGATAATGTTGAGCTTTTTCCAAGAAATCAGAAACAAGGTCTTTACAAGAGATGGTTGTGAAAGGATTTGAAAGATCTATCAAAGCACTCCTATAATCAGAAACGGCGGCAACAGCTGAAGAAAGGCGCTCTGTAGGTACAGATGAAATAGATCTACGAAATTGTAAAGAATATGCTAAAAATCTCGTTACGATTTGGATCACTATTCCTGCAGAATAATCATCTTGTTCATCAGAAATTTTAATATCATTCAACCTCTTTATAAGGTCGTCAACGTCTTCAACATTTGTCAAAGAAGGCAATAATACTTTTTCTTCTTCCAAACGTAACATTTGTTGAGTCTCTTTATTGTATGGCAATATATTGCCTTTGTAAGACATATCTATATAATCATGAAGTTTTATGCTCTCGCCAATACGAACTTCAGGACATTTTGGTTCGTCAACTACTCTGAAAAGAGACGCAAGGCCAGCTAAACTGCTGACATCAATGTCATTTAGGTTTAGATCGTATAACAAATTATTCTGAGACATGCTGTTGTTATATTCTGTATGAATTAGTATATATTATTGAAATGAGAGTAAAGGAGATGTTGGATTGATGCGATAAGTGGATTAAAGATAGCGGTCTTTATATATATATTCATTTCTTTATTTAATTACATTTTTTCTTAGCCAAAATATTTTATAGTGCGCAATAATAATAATACGTAGTAAACTTCAATGCTATTCCACAAAAGTAAATCATGATTCATGTGGTTGCATAATTTATGTTTCACAAATAATCATAAGATAAATGTTACGGACTTTTTTCCAATATCTCCGATAAATTTTAATTAATGGAATGTTCTTGAACTTACTTAAAGTTCGAATATGTTCGATAATATTAAAATCTCGAACCTTAATATCCGGAATTTGGACTCCGAAATTTGAATTCATTTGTTATATACATGTAATTTTCAGTACATGCATATTTAGAAACTAACTTCTGTCATAACAAAGAATTTCTTACTTTGCCCTAATATAAATAAAGTATTTCATTTTTTCTTGTTAAACAAATATTTGATATATTGATATTGTATGACTAACGCTAAATAAAATTTAATAAGATGGCTGTTACACGAGTCACGGCCTAAATCGCTAGATGAAATTTTCAGGGTCGTAACAATCAACATGAAGCAGAAACTTTGTTATAATAATGCATCATGCATTATGAGTATTTGAAATATTTTTAGTTTTATAATAATATATCTATGGAGCATGTTTTTTGTGAAAGAGAAATTTATTATGTATTTTAAATTGTTATCTTTATTAAGTAATTCTTTATTTTTTATTGTATCATGTCACAAATTAACGACAATTAAAATTAAAACACCATATCACATTAAATTAGTATTACAACTTATTAAGTAGTATGCGGTTTCAATTTATTATTGCTGCAAATTATAATTATCAATTTTTTTTTTGTAACAGTTTTCAAATAAGTTATATTTAGTAAAAAATTAGTGTTTCGAATTGGTCAAATTTTTCAAATTGATTGGTTCGCTATTTTGTCGACGATTGATTGAAATAATCACATGTTTTCATCAAATTTGATTGGGCTAACAAATTATCACATGTTCATTGTACGGGTTAAATAACTTTCAATAATAAATTAACGATTAGTGGTCACAATGTTTCAGTCAATTAGTTAACTAGTTGTCAACTCGCTTTTGTTTCATTCTGCTAGTTTAATGAAATTCAAACATAAAAGGTATTCGGTTTTATTCATTAAACTCAGCATAAAATTTAGTTCCAAAGCTAAAAATCTCGGACATTATGTATTTTTACGATTTGATACATAGTTTATCAACGTTGATAATAATAATACATTATAAGTACATATTCTAGGGATCATGAATGTATATGCATTTAAAGAGAATGTGCATTTAAAAAATGGCCAATAAAAACAGGTGTTATTGTATGATTTTTAAACAGCAGAGGTTTTTTTCGATTTTTAACAGCTGCCCTACCTTGTTTAGTGCGTCGAAAGTGTATCAGGGGTGCGTCGAGTGTAACCCAGGTTCGCATAAGGAGAGCTTCTCCCTGCGTTACGAATATAAAGTAGAATTTCCAA